AGTGGCTAGGCAGCTGGTGTAGTTATTCCATGAGACTGGCAATCAACTCTATGGTGGGATCTACCACAAGCAGCTGAGTAGCTGCCTTTGGGATGTGGTCTGCTTCCTATATATAAGGAGAAGCCTTGGGGATAGTCTCTAGCTTATGGCACACTTGGACCCTGCATGTAGCCATGTCATTGTTCAACAGCCTGCCATGCTCTGACTACCTTGGGACTCACAGTGGACTTAAATTAATGACCTGCCATCTGGTTTGGTAACATCAGGACTATGCCATTTTATTTGTCAACCTTGGGCTTGTTAGCCTCAGCAGCCAGCAGCTGTCTGAGTGAAGATATGCCTCTAGCTTCTGTGGGCTGGAAGAAAGAGGCAGAGCTGAAGCCCAAGGTCAAGGGGCTTTCATAGAGCTCCTAGAACCTGGCACTTTGAACTTGGACTTAAAGCCTCCAAACTGTAAGAAAATAAACTTCTTTTGTTCAAGCCATCCCATTTGTGGTATGTTCTTGTCAGAGCGGCACTAGGTAACCAGAACATACACACACACACACACACACACACAAAACAATGCATGTAGCCTGCGTGGAGCCCGGGTAGCACAGTTGTCAACGCGCTCAGCTGCTAACGGAAAGGTGGGCGGTTGGAACTCTCAGCGGGAGAAGGATGTAGTAGTCTGTTTCCGTAAAGACTTACAACCTTGGAAACTCTATGGGGCACTTCTACTCTGGTCTATAGGGTTGCTACAAGTAAGAATCAACTTGACAGCAGTGGGTTTGGTTTTTGGTGTACACGTCCTGCAGAGACTAAAATATTTACTATCTGTCCCTTTGCAGGAAGAAAAAAAAAAAAAAAATTCCAACCCCTGTTCTACTTCAAAAACCTCACAACTAACCAAAATGAAATTTTAAGTTTTTCACTAAGTATCTTTATACTTCTAAATTTACATTCAAAGCAAGTTTAATGATATCTTTCACCACTCCCCACTCCCCCTCTCTTCCCTACCCAGTTGTCTTTCCTTACTAGCCACTTCCTTCACATAGAAGTACTTGTGCAAATATTTATTATAATAAGCTGGGCTGGCCAAAAAAAAAAAAAACCTAGAGGCTGACCATGTCTAACTTTTGTCTAATGACAAATATTCTAGCACAAGCACTTTTTTCAACAAGTTTTAAGTTCTGCAATGAAAAACTAAATTAGTAAATTGGGCCTATGCTGACCACAACTCATGACTTACGTCAACTTCTCCATTTGCATATATCCAATACTGGGGAAGGGGAAGAAACTAACAAGTCTCAATGCTCAATCAATAAATTAATAATAGGCTAAAATAACATTCACCTAACTTTAACAAGGGAGTTCTGGTAGTGAAGCGCCTAAGGCACTTGACTGCTAACCAGAAAGCTGGTTCAAACTCACCAGCCACTCCTCAGAAGGAAGATGGGCAATCTACTTCTACAGTGATACTGCCTTGGAAACCCAAAGAGGGGTTGCTATGAGTTGGGTCTGACTCGATGGCACATAACAACAACAACAACTTTAACAAAAAGGACAAAACAGATACAAGATGGTGACTTCCAAAACCAAAAAACCAAACTCACTGCCGCTGAGTAGATTCCACTCATAGCAACCCCTCCTTTGGGTTTCTGAGGTGATATCACTACAGAAGTAGACTGCCCAACCTTCCTTCCGAGGAGTGGCTGGTGGGTTTGAACTGCCAGCCTTCTAGTTAGTGGTCAGATGCCTTAGGCACTATGCAACCAGAGTTCCCTGATGGTGACTTAGGACTAAACTAAATTCAATAAATGTGTAGGTTTTATCTGTGGATTTGACAGCGAGGTCTTTGCCACTTAATTCAGACTACATGAAGTCAACATGGTTTAGTGACCCATTTAAGACTTTCAGAAGTAAGAATAAAGTGAAAAAGAAAACACCCTATGCTCAAAACACCAAGGATAAAAGAGCTTGCAATCTAACTGAACTATAGAAGCATTCAGAAAATCTGGAAAGTAGCATATAACCTACTGGACTAAAACATCAGAAAAAACTCAAGTTTTCATCTCAGCACAGCCAATAATATGTAACATGGGGCACAGAGTGTATTAAAAGCATCTAAGACAAGCAACACAGATAAATAAAACAATCCCCACACAATAGAGTGGAAAAGGTAGAAGGCCACTTTCCTATCAAAACTTAAAAAGCATTTTGACCCAAAGCCTCTTAATTCTTCCCAAATAATTAAACATGCTGCAGAAAAAATCAAAATTCAATACACATACTTTAAAGAGATGAATGAGTTAAGACATAATACCAAAACCAACTCACTGCCATCGAGCTGATTTCAACCCATAAACCACCGGGTTTCTCTACGGAAGCAGACTGCTCATCTTTCTTCTAAGGAGTGGCTGACGGGTTCGAACCACCCACCCTTTGGTTAGCAGCCAAATGCCTTCAGCACTACACCACCAGAGCGCCTTAAAACATACCAGGGTATCTTATTTAGGCTACTCTGTAGAAAAGGATTATCTATAACATATCCTTTATTTACAAAGACAGAAAATTGTTTGATAACAATTCTTAAGGAGAGGTCACTAATCAATACAATTTTGACACACTGCATCCATATCTCTGATATAACCAGCTAGAAATGCATTTTTTTTCTATACCACAATAACCTTCTTAGCCCCAGCAATAAAGCATCAAGCTCGTTAATAAATGCAGATCTAGGGAAAAGGAGTGTGTGGATGGGGGAAATTATGGAAGAAGTCATAATCTACTGCTTAGCATGCTCAGTCAACCCACCTTTCAGAAGATAATGGTTCTAACCAGACCTTGTGGTTTAATCAATCAGTAGTTTAATCAGCACCAGCAACTGATTACATCCAATGTTTTGGAGGATAATAAAAAACTTGAACGAGCGCTAAATGTGGCGGAAAGTTCCTTCCCTGGCCCATTTAAACACCTTACATCCCATTCCTTTTATCTTAGTGTTACATCTTAATGCAAAAATAAATAAATGAATAACTACACACTCACTCAAAACACAAGGAGGGGTGAGGAGCTGTCCTCATCCCAGGTCTCAATCATAGCCCATAAATGTAATCCCCTACCCAGATCTAAACTCCTCAACCAGCCAACAGCTCCAGCCAATAAATCGAACACTCTTTCCCCCCTCCTTCCTATCTCCCGAGCCTAATTCTGTGACCCACATCCCAGTATCCAGAGCCCCAAACACGGCACCCCTCCATTTACTTCCACCCCAGAGGCTTCCTAATTAACCTTCACCCCAGCCCCCACCCCATCTTTGTCTCGCTACCCCTAACACACACCTCAACGTTCCCCCACTGCCAAACACAGCCCTTCCCCCAGTCGCCGACCCCCATCTTCCCAGTCTCTTACCGGTCTCGTCCCCACCCCCATAACCCTCCACCCCCCTCCCGGCCCGTCACCCCAGTTCCTAGTCTCCCCAGCCTCGCGTGACCCGTCCCCTCCCCCAGCTTCCTCTGTCCCTTCCTTCCCTTCCCTCCAGCCCCTCCGCCCACGCCCACCCCTGCTCCCGCGGGTCCTTCCAGGCCTTTCACCTTGTCCATGAGCTTCCAGCACTTCTCCACCATCTTCTTGTCCACGGTCCCCGGTGGATGGGGGCTGAGGTGGTGGTGGTGGTGGTGCGGCTGGAAAGCGTCTTTCATGAGCCCGATCAGGCCGCCTGAGCCCGAGCCCCCGGAGCCGCCGCCGCCCCCGGCCCCAGAGCTCTTTTTCACGTTGCCGGCCATGGCCGGGAGAAGGTAGGGGGCCCAGCCGGGTGCGCCGGCAGGGCTCTGCCGCCAGCGAGGGAAAGAAGGGCGTGAAGGAGGGGCCTCTCTCTGCCGCTGCCGCCGGCTATCCCGGAGGAGGGAGGAGCGGCCGCGGGGAGGGGAGTGGGCGGTGCCTGGCGATGCGGGTCCGCGCGAGGCGCGCCCCCTCACAGCGCGAGCCTGAGGGCGGGAGGCGCGCTCCAGAGACTGAGGAGGCAGGAAGCGGCGTCCGCAGAACTGGGTAGCGGGCCCCCCTTCTATGCCAGCCTCTCAGCGGCGAACCTACCCACAGCTCCCGGAAAGCCGCGGCGAAGTTTCCGCGCTCACCACCCCGCCCCTACCCCTGGGGGCGGGACGGGGCGGAGCCAAGCGGAACCTTCGTTTCGGTCCTTGCCTGCGCCCTCTGCTGGAGAAGGGGGAAAGGTTGAGAGTGGTGTCTAACGTGGAGTCTGCGCATTAGGCGGAAGCTGAGACCTCCATGTTTCTTCTGGGCTGTAAATTCGTGCTTCTTGAGTGGGTGGGTCATTTGAATGTTTAAATTAGGACAAGTAGCGATAAAAAGAATCTTAACGTCTTGTCTTGCTCCATGGTTGACAAATGAGGAAACTGAATTTAAAGTTATTTGCTTCTTCACCTTGTGGGAGAATTGTGGGGGGAAAGGGAAGTTATTTCTCCACCTCCTGGTATTTTAAACTATTCAAGACGGCACCAATGACAGGAATGTGAAAGCTGCAGATTGTTCGATTCGAATCTGTCTTGACTTCTTGAAAACAAAGCACTTCCTTTTTTCTTTTTCTCCTGAACACTGGTTCCTTTTCTGGGAATTGAGGAATTGAATGTCTACTTAAGATTCATTCCCCTGCTCAGCGCATTGCGTCTCAGGTCCGCAAGTCCAGCCCAAGGCCCTGCTCACTGAAACTGTAAGACTGCTGCGGCCCTGACGGGATTTCTTGCTCCACCCGTGGAACCGAAATGCAGTTCCCAGTCACTTCCACCTCTCTAATCTAAAAGTTGCGTTGGAATGACTTTTGAAAAAGGGAACTTCCCTTCCAAAGAAGGAAGTGCCCTACCCTAATTTGTTAATTCTGAGCCTTAGGTTTGGTGTGCTAAATCCTATAGTGTCAATAAATTGTCGTTCCGCCTTAAATGCCCCCCTCCGGGCTCTTTGACAAAGCCCTTAACTGATTAAGGGAGCTCTGGTGGTGGAGCGGTTAAGGCATTTGGCTGCTAACCACAAAGGTCAGTGGTTTGAACCCACCGGCCAACAGCTCGGCGGAAGAAAGATGAGGCAATCTGCTTCTCTAAAGACTTACAACCTTGGGAACTCAAAAGGGGGGTGACTATGAGTTGGAGTTGGCTTGATGGCAGTGACTTTGGTTTGGCTTTGACTGAATTGGGAATAAAAGTTTATCAGGTTCTCCTTTCCCCACCCCCACTGCCATGGAGTGCCAACTCATAGCGACCCTGTAGGACAGAGTAGAACTGCTCCCATAAGGTTTTCATGGTTGCAAATCTTTACCAAAGCAGAGTGTCATATATTTCTCCCATGTAGCAGCTGATTAGCAGCTGAGTTCTTTAACCACTGGACTATCAGGGCTCTTCTAGGTACTCCTTCCATAGAGAAAAGAAATCTGTGGACCCAAGGACTTTTCAGCCAGATATCCTGATTTTGTGATTCAACTGCCTTTATCTAAGATAGATCACTTCCTATCAGAATTTCCTTTTGTCAGTTCCTACCTAAAAGAATCCACCAAAGGAAAATGTTGGTAAAGCTCCTAGATAACTGTCAAAACTTTCCATGTCTGTGGTTCAGTATATCACTTGCTATGGCTTTTCTAACCAGTCTTTGTGACTCCTGGTGGGATCATGCAAATAAGGTGTATGGAACTTGCAAAAAAGGACATGGAGGTGGCATCTTCAGCCTCCTGTAACTACACAAGAGGAAGGCAGAATCACCATCAATAGCCCAATGTTTATTCCTATGAGGCCAGACATGCCACCACCCTTCAGGCTTTTACCAATTCTGACACCAACCCTCTCTCCTACGGCACTTGCTCTTTCTTGCTGGGTTCAATAATTCATTGCAATGGCCACACAGAACTCACAGACAATACTCATGATTTTGGGGTTTATTAGGGAAGGCACAGGTTACAGTTCAGGTTCAGGAATAGGTTCAGGATACAATTCTTTGATCAGGACAGTCTTCCCTCTGCTATGCCCTCAGGCCCGCCTCTCTGGCCCTTGGCCTCTACGGTGTGGTAAATTACTTGGTATGGCTTTTCTAGCCATAAGTCTTTGTAAACTCCGTGGAATTTGCTGTGAGCAACTGAGGAGCTCCTAATTTTAATAGTAACCCACCTGGGGTATTTCTGTTGGGCGTGGCACAAAGCAATGTTCTGGCCTGTCTCTCAGGTGCTTAGAATTCTGATACTATGATTGGCTAGTTTGGCCACTCTACCAGGCTCAAAAGGAGGCCTCCTAGAGGCAGAACTCTCTCTGACTGCTGGTTGAGGAAGACGTGCTGCTGAAAGAGACACACGCTCCAGAGAGACATGCGCTCCTGAGAGACACACGCTGCTGGGAAAGAGGCACAAGAGACAGGCATTGCTGAGTGAGACACCGAGGGACACACACTGCTGAGAGAGAGACTGTTGGCTGAGAGACTGTGGGCTGGGAGAGAGACAGCATTTTTTCCTGAACTTGAATTGTAGCCTGGTGCTTCCCTAATAAACTCCATGATCTGTGAGTTCTGTGTGGCCACTGCAGCAAATTATCGAACCCAGGAGAGAGGTGGTGGGTGCTTTGGGAGGAACGGTTGGTGAAAGGGCTGGAGGGAGGCAGCATGTCTGGCCTTGAAGTAATAGGCCTTGGGTTACTGCTGGTAATCCTGTCTTCCTCTTGTGGGATTAGAGGAGGTCAGAACATGTGGCCTCCTTGCCGTTTTTGCAGCCTCCCTGCCCAGCCTCTGCCCTGCTTGTGCAAGTGTTACAAAGCTCTTTTAGCTCTGTTGATAGGTACACCTAGGCACACCCCACTTCATCAGCAAGCCACCTGCCCAAGGGCACTCAGCTTTCTTGCTCTGTGGGCCAGGTAAATCTACCACTGTCTCTTGCCTTCTTGGTTCCACTGAGACAGTCTCTCTCTACCAGGGTGTCTCTCTCTGCTGGGGTGTCTCTCCCTACCAGGGTGTCTCTCCCTACTAGGGTTCTCTGCCAGGGAGGTCCAGTCCAGAGTTGTCAAATCCAAGGACACACTACTTCACTTCCAGTCTTCTCTCTTGATGGCAGTGAGATCCCCTCTCTGCCTCTGTTATTGTTATGTGCCATCGAGTCAGACCCGACTCATAGCGACCCCTCCTTGGGTTTCCAAGGCAGTATCACTATAGAAGTAGATTGCCCAAACTTCCTTCCGAGGAGTGGCTGGTGGGTTTGAACCGCCAGCCTCCTGGTTAGCAGTCAAGTGCCTCTCTACCTCTAGGAGTTCTACACACCCTATCTGTGTGCTTCCACCCAGTAATCAGGTGGGAGTGACAAAGCCTATGGCTAGAAAAGCCATACCAAGTAATTCACTGCACCACAGAACTCTAATGTGAGGATTGGTTAGTTTTGTCACTCTGCTAGGCTTAAAATGAGCCCTCCTAAAGGCAGAAGGGGTATCTCATTGCCATCAAGAAAGAAGAGCTTGAGGTGGAATGGAGCACATCCTTGGACCAGATTGTTGTGCTAGACCTCCTTGGCAGAAAGATGGCAGAGATGATTAGCAAAGACGATGAGCAGAGGAACCAAGAGGTACAAGACAGAGCAGCGGGCTTGCTGGCCCACAGAGCAAGAAAGCTGAGTGCCTTTGGGCAGGAGGCTTGCTGACAGAGTGGGATGCACCTAGGTGTACCTATGTTGTTGTTACGTGCCATCGAGTCGGCCCCGACTCATAGCGACCCCTCCTTGGATTTCCAAGGCAGTATCACTACAGAAGTAGGATTGCCCAACCTTCCTTCCAAGGAGTGGCTGATGGGTTTGAACCACCAGCCTTCTGGTTAGCAGTCAAGTGCCTTAGGCACTATGCTACCAGAGCTCCTAGGTGTACCTATAGGCAAACTAAAAGAGCTTTGTAACACTTGTTCAAGCAGGGTAGAGACCAGGCGGAGAAGCCAAGGGCCAGAGAGGCGTGCCCGAGGGCATAGCAGAGGGGAGACTGTTCTGATCAAAGAGTTGTATCGTGAGCATGTTCCTGAACCTGAACTGTAGCCTATTCCTTCCCTAATAAACCCCATAATCGTGAGTATTGTCTATGAGTTCTGTGCAGCCATTGCAATGAATTATTAAACCCAGCAGAGAAGGAGTGAGTGCCATAGGAGGTACAGTTGGTGTCAGAATTGGTAAAAGGCTGGAGGGTAGTGGCATGCCTGGCCTTGGGCTATTGATGGTGATTCTGCCTTCCTCTTGTGAAGTTAGAGGTCAGAAGATGCCACCTCTATGTACTTTTTTGCAATATCTAATGCCATTACCTGAATGCAGGCCCTCCTTTTCTCTTCCCTAGACTACAAAAATTTTTTCCTCACTGATTTCCTGCTATCTCCAATCCATTGTGCCACATGATTATTCTTCCTAAAGTGTAGTTCTGACAGCATCACAAAAAAGCTTCAGACACTTCCCATTGCCTTTGGAATAAAGTTAACAGTCATGATGATTTTTATATTACTCCTATTATACATGTTTTAGGGAGCTCTGGTAGCATAGTGTCTAAGACACTTGCCTGCTAACCAGATGGCTGGCGGTTCAAACCCACCAGCCACTCCTCAGAAGGAAGGTTGGGCAATCCTACTTCCGTAGTGATATTGCCTCGAAAACCCAAGGAGGGGTCGCTATGAGTCGGGTTTGACTTGACGGCACATAACAACAACAACAACATTATACATGTTTTATACATATATCCTACACTGGGTGACTTACCAAGTCACAAAATACCACAATCCACTCTTTTTTCATCACCACTCCTCAGAGCATTCCCTCTGTGCAAAGTGTCCTCCTAAAATCCAATCTATTCTTTAAAACTCAAGCTCAAATACTTCCCAGACACTCCAGCTAAAAGTAATCCTCCCCTCTTTGAAATTTCCGTAACCATTCCTTTCTTTCTCACACCTTCCAAACAGAAACCAAACCAGTTGTTATCTAGTTAATTCCAACTCATGGTGATCCCATGTGTTACAGAGCAGAACTGAGCTCCACAAGGTTTTCTTGATTGTGATCTTAATGGAAGCAGATTACCAGGCCTTTTTTTCTGTGGTGCCGCTAGGTAGGTTCCAACCACCAACCTTTCAGTTAGTAACAGAACTCAAACCATTTGTACCACCCAAAGACCTTCACACCTACCACACACTCACTTATGCTTTACTGTCTCATAGTCTAGATCTTCCACAGTACCTAGCACAGTGTAGGTGCACACAGTTTGTTTTGTTTTCTCGTCATAGTCAAATTCTAAATTTAAAGGAGTACAGGTAAGAAATTAATCCTTGTGAGCCTGTCTAGGTGTGGTTTCCATTTCAAAACCAAACTCACTGCCATCAAGTCGATTCTGACTCAGTGACCCCCATTGGGCTTCCGAGGCAGTAAATCTTTACAGAAGTAGATTGCCCAGTCTTCCTTCCACGGAACAGATGGTGGGTTTCAACCACCAACCTTTTCGTTCTTCCATCAAGTCGGCTCTGACTCACAGCGACCCCTCCTTGGGTTTCCAATGCGGTATCACTACGGAAGTAGATCACCAAGCTCCCTTTTGAGGAGTGGCTGGTGGGTTTGAACCACCAACGTATTTGTGAAGCAGTCAAATGCCTTAGGCACTTCACCACCAAAGCTCCCACTGAACCACCAGAGCTCCTACTCTTTAGTAGTGTCTTCATATAATGGAATTGTATAATTGGCACTTTGTTTCTGTGGGAGTGGGCCATATTTCCTTCACTATACAAATGACCTGTCTTTTACATTTGGATAAAAGAGGGAGTGTAATCCTTCTTTCCTCTATCTCTTCAAAACCCCCAGATTGGATCCTACTCAAAGGAAAACAGAGTTCTACTGAAATGATGTTTCCTGTTGTGATTTCTAAACTGAGCCTAATGAAAAAAGAAAGGTTGACTTTTTTTTTCTAATTTTTATTAGCTTGTTTTTTAAAAATGTACTGGAGACGGGATGGAATTGTTGATCACAATGTTATTCCCATTCCTGGGTTATGTTAGAGCTGGCTTGGCTTATGTCACATCATGTGACATGTGGCACTTTTTTTTATTCCACTTCACCTTCACCCCAAACCACATCCTCATTCTGCACCTGAAAGTCGGTTGACTGAACATATTTGTAAAGTAAATGCTCTTCTGAGGCATTATACCTTGTTGATTTTGTGTAATCTCAGTCCTCAATATGTAATTCCAGGCATCAGCGTAAGAGCAACTATTTCCATGTAGAAACTCAGCAACTAGTCTTATAGGTTAGAAGTACAGAGACAGGGACACCTAGTGCATTCCTAGACACTGGGAGAGGGTTCTGGAGGGAATATAAGTGAAGAACATGCTTCTGTATTTAAATAAAAGTGTTCTCCAATCTTGGGAGATGTGCTCAAGGTTAACCTGATACTGCGTTACATGAGGGACAAGCCTGACTCTTCTCTTTGCTCTGTAAAGTATCTTGGTACCCTGCAACTGCCAAGATGACAAATAAACATGAATCAGCCTCTGCCTAAATCTGCCTGCTCTGAGGGGAAGGACTTTCCCTTTTCAGCTATCAGGGCTGTTTCTACAGATCTGCTCCTGGCAATAGGCAATTGACCAAAAGCATTGAAGGGGGCAGAGGTGGAGGAAGGTTTCTAAAGAGAGGGTCTGCAGATCCCTTAATCCACGAGGGTAAAAGACCTGACATTTTTACTGTTTTCATTCTAGCCAGCATGGTGCCCAGAGATCAGGTGGCAGACAGGCGACAAGGCTCTAGAACAGCACAAGGATGGAGAGAGGGTGGGACCTGCCTGGCAAGAACAAGTCACCCATCATACTCCCTTCCCCAAATTTATTTCTCCAACCACTTATGACTTCAGCAAGATGCTGGGAAATATTCCCAAGAGGGAGGCACCCCTAACATTGCCCAGTAAATAGTTTAAAATGAAAAAAAAAAATATTAGGAGACTGGGGCAAGGTCAATCAAGTCCACTAGAGGGAGCCCCAACCAATTCTATGCTGCAGGGAGCCTGGCAAAGTAGCTAATTGGCATCTGTCTGAAAATAAACCAAGGAAGGGAACAGGGGAAGTGACGCAATAGATTTAACTCAACAAGAGAGAAGATAGCCATGTAATCCTTGGAGAGAACAATCATGGGAGAAAGAAGGGCTGCTTATGTACAGGGAGACAGCCCAGGGGGCAGGAGTGCATGGAGGGATGGGCACAGGGAATAGGTAACTATAGGGAGGAAGTGGAAGGGGAGCTGTTACATTGGGGTAAATTGTAGTCAATGTCATGAGACAAAGTGTATGTGAACTGCTATATGGAAAGGAATGTGATCTGTAAACTTTCACCCAAATCACACACACACACACACACACACAAAGATAGCCATGTAAATTACCCAGTTAAAACCCAAGCTTCCAGGACTTACAGAATCAAAGATTGAAAGCCCACGAACCTGAGGCTGAGCAAAATTGAATGATTTGCTCAAGTTTACATATTCCAGAGTCTGGGTAGAGCTCCACAATTTTTGTCTCTCTAACCAATGCCCTTTCCTCTACATCTGCATCCCTATAGATCAGTACCCTGGTGGCCCATAGGCCAATCTCTCCTCTGTGCCTCACTTTTCTGAAATGGAAACTCTCACCCACCTGCTTCTGCATTTCCCTCATATATCATAGAATGGTTTACTGATGGGGATTTTGAGTCTTAAGCTTAATAATGTCAGTTTGCAGATGGGACCTAGGAATGCAAATTGCCCAAAATGGCTGTTATCAGTCCTTTTCCTCTGCATCAGCACAATGGTATTATTTTGGATATATAAATCTGTAGGAGCTCTGGTAGTGTAGTGCCTAAGGCACTTGACTGCTAACCAGAAGGCTGGTGGTTCAAACCCACCAGCCACACCTCGGAGGGAAGGCTGGGTAATCTACTTCTGTAGTGATACTGCCTCGGAAACTCAAGGAGGGGTCGCTATGAGTCGGGTCCGGCTTGAAGGCACATGACAACAACAACAACAACAACATATAAATCTGTAATTGTAAGTCTTCAAATTGCAAACAGGGAAATGAATCATAGCTAATAGGATCCAAAGCCCTTTCTCCTTAAACTACACCTTGGATTTGGAAATGAGGAGAGGACTGGCTCTCTGGTGCTTGGTATTTTAAGCTTTATGAACTGATATAGCCCACTCTACCTTCCTACACTGACTCCACGGCACTTAACAACAACAACAACAACAACAAGCTCTATGTTTCCCAGTTGCCAGACAACGTGCAGTGCAGGAGCCAAGCCTTCTAGTTCTCAGTCCTTCCTACTCCCTCCCCCTATAGCAATTTGCACCCTGGATTGGCTCCCAGAACCCAGCCCTTCTCAGGCTCTTAGCTGGTTGGGCTTTTTCTCTGTCACTCCCCAGTAATAGGGGCATTCCACAAGGAAACACAACAGAGGCAAGGGATGATCTTACTGGTAGGAAGAGGTGGGGGTAAGGATGATAGGAAGAGGTAGGGGACCAGGTACTGAGATTTACTTTCTCTAAAAGAGGGTTGAGAGGAATGACTTCTGTACCTAGGGCCCAGTTGGTAGACAGAGACAGTTCTATCCGCACTGACCCCAGCCTTATCTGAGGTTCCAAGAAGACTAAGAACTGAAGCTCCTGGAAAGTGGAAGAGATAGACTTGGCAACTAGAATTTTGATGCTCCTAGAACTCCTAGTTCAGTCTAGGGGTCAGGAAAGCTTCCCTGTGTCCAAATCTGAACACCAGAATCCTCCCTTCCTCAGGACACCAAGGAATGCCACCTAAGACTAAAGAAAAAAGGGCGCAGAAGAAGAAAAAGAATTCGGGTGCTGGTGAGTCAGGGTGGGTGGAGGTAGGTGCCCCCTCTTCTCCATGGTCCTTCCCAGAGACCAAGCAGAGGTTCTCAAAAGTTCAGCCCTCAGCATGACGTGATAAAGTTTTCTTGGCCCTTCCCCTTCCTATCCTCACATCCGAGTTCCACAGAGCAGGGATGCTGGGGAAATCAGTCACCAACCCTCTTCCTTGAGCCCCTCTGGCTCTGTGCCTTCCTCGTATATTTACCACACATATTTTGAGTACCTGCTATGTGCTGGTCAGTAAAAACACAATTGTGAACTCAGTGAACAAGGTCTCTGCCCCCAAGGGCCCATATTTCATTGTCCTTGAATTTTGTGTAGGAAGTAAGTCCAGGGTCTTGGGTGAGGACAGGATAAGCTGAGGTTCTCCAACCTCATCCATTGCCAATTTGCCAGGGCAGATGTGGAGGCTGAGTCAAAGTACAGGCTGGCTGTGCTGGAAAAGGAGTTGCTTCAAGACCATTTGGGTAAGAAAGGTGGGAGATCTGGGAGGTAACAAAGACAGGGCAATGGGGCATTTCTGTATCTACTACCTCCTTGGGGGATTGGAGAGCTGGAGCTGTGGTAAGGGGCTAAACTGGCCTCTAAGCATGCCCAAATGGGTAAGACTGTCAAATATCGGGATTGTGGAAGAGGGGCGGGCAGTGAGGGTTGATGACAGAACTAGGGAGCTATTTCTTATAGCCACAACATGGAATGAGTTTTTGCTTCTTAGTGATGAAGAGCCTGTGAGATTCTAGGGAAGAGAAGAAAAAGAAAGATAGGAAGAGCATAAGAGACTGGGTGGGCGGGCAGAGCCCATCATGCCCATAGGGGCTGATTCAGGCTGCAGGAGGTCCTGAGGGCACCTCTGGGATTGTTCACAGCTCTGCAGAGGGATGAGACCCGCCGAGCCAAGGCCTCTGAAGACCAGCTTAAGCAGAGGCTGCAAGGGTTGGAGGCTGAACTGGAGGGGGCCCGCAGTGAAGGAAAGGCCATATATGCAGGTATGTGGCCAGTGAGATGGGCAAGAGACAGAGACCTGGATGAGGAGGCAGAGGAAACAAGGCAAGGAAACAGGAGAGCTTCAGCCTTCCAGACCCAATTTCAGCCTTCCCAGCATGGCACAAATCAGATAGGATACTGAAGGCCCAAAGGAGGGGATCCTAGGCAGGGACCTTTTTGGCTCCCTGATGCAATATGCTTGATCGGTTGTAGGTTAAAAATGCAGTCATTGACATTATCTCATTCATTCCAGCTCCTCTGGAATGGGGGGACAGGGGGTCTGGTTTCTGCTTCCTTCCCCAGGTCTGCAGGGACTCACCATAGAATCATGGCCACCAGACCAAGCAGAGGTCCCCCCACCCCTCTCCACCCATAACTTCATCTCCTTTCCTCACCCCTACATTTCCACCTGGCTCCCTGGCCCCACCACAGAGATGAGTCGGCAGCAGCGGGCCCTGCAGAAGCAGATGGACACCCACAGCAGGCAGCTGGAGGAAGAAGTGAGGGGCCTTCAGGAACAGCTAGGTAGGCTTCCACTCCCTCAAGCTCTTTCTCTCCAAAGGTCACTGATGAGGTCCAGACTGAAGGGGTGGACTTAGGATGGTCCTTCTCTAGAAATCTGGGGCCTGGGCTCCCTTATCACTTTCCTCACTGATGCTCCCACCCATGAGGACTGGGGCAGAACCTCCAAGTTATATATAAGTAAAGAGGATCAGGAGGTCATTCCAGAAGGTAAGTCTCTCATCCTGCTTCCCCCTCACTTAGTCTCCAAATCCAGACATTACTCATCACCACTGCCACATCTCATGAGCAAAACGTATTCCCTGTTAGTTTGGCTGCAATAGGATTTCTACAGTGCAATTAAGGTAAAATGTTAGATTGATTTATTTCTATATCTCCAAGGACTAACACATAGTTGTTGTAGTTGCTAGCAGTCATTGGATACATTCCAACTCCTGGCGACCCCATGTGTGCAGAGGGGAACTACCCTATAGGGTTTTCAAAGCTGGGACTTTTTGGAAGCAGATTGCTAGGACTGTCTTCTGAGGCACCTGTGTGTGGGCTTGACCTGCCAACTTTTTGGCTAGAAGTCGAGTGCTTCACTGTACCACTGAGGGACTCCTAGCACACAGTAGGTCCTCAGTACTATTTGATGAATGAACAACGCCACCCAAATCAGCAAAAATATAAAAAAGCAGGAAGTCTTTGCTCTCTTCCCTTTTGCTTACAGGATAAAGTTGAAATACCTTAGCATGGCACACAAGAGATTTCACAATTTTGGCCTCAAAATTTTGTTAACCTAAAAGAGCTTCAGTTTAGCTACAGATACCCAGGAACTGCTTATCTGGCATGCCCACCCTGGGCTTCTTTCGTAATCCCTGCCTTGTCTCAAATTCATATTCAACCAACTTTGATTGACCACCTTCTATATATCAAGTACTTTCCTATACACTAACCTAGTGAGGTATATATTATTCTCCCTTTTAAGAGGAAGAAACTGAGGTCCAGAGAGAGGCATGCCTAAAGTTTCACAGGTAGTAAGTGATACCAGACTTTGGGCCCATAGCTCCTGTCCCAAGCATATTACACTCTTTCCTATACCTTAGTGGACCTTTAGCCCTTTACAGGGGACACGAGGAAGTAGATGACCTTGGGTGTGTGTGTGGGGTGGTTATCTAGCATGCTTCCATTCAAGTTCTGCTTCAGGTACCTTGGGAGTGTTTCCATCCTGTCCTCTTTCATCTTTTGCCCCAACTCCCAGAGACATGCAAGAGGGAGGCTGAGGCTGCCCGGGGAGTGGCTGAGCAAGCCCTTGCGGAGCGAGACCAGACTCTGTCTCAGCTTTGGGCCCACGTAGCAGACATGGAGGCCAAGTATGAGGAAATCTTACACGTAAGCATCACCCTCTGGAGCCCAGCCACCCCAGTACCCCACACTCCTCCTATGCTCCCCACATCTCAGCCAATGTAATGACTAACAGACCAGGCATGGGAAGTAGGAAAGAAACATCTCCCCTGACGACCCTGGTCCATTTTGAGGGCCAAAGGCAAGGGGATACAAAGGTGTCTCCCACTGAGAACAAGAAATTAAAACTGGCAAGAAAAGCTTCCAAATTGGCCTAGGGCAACTTCACCCCTCTCCTCCCTTCTCCTGAGGGCTGAAGCTTGGTATCTGCAGGGCAGTTTGGATCGACTCTTGGCCAAGCTAAGAGCTGTCAAGCCTCAGTGGGATGGGGCAGCACTGAAACTCCATGCCAGGCACAAGGAACAGCTGCGCCAGTTTGGACTCAACCCCCTGGATCTTTGAGCCTGGAAGCCTGTAGTCTTCAGGGCTCTCTGAGGCCCCTGTAATAAAGCTGTCTTGATGTAGAACTCAATGGAGCTGTGGGCTGTGGACATTTGGCCAAGAGGAGTGCCTCTCATAGGGGCATCTTGGTTCTGGACTGACCCAGTACCTTGAAGACTGAATGATATGAGAGAACTTTGACAAGATCTCAACCCTTCTGCCACAAAAACTGAGTCTTACCTCTTAAACCGGGGCCCTTTTAGTCCCTTCAAACCACCACCTCCTGCCCCCACCAACAAAAACACAGGCAGCCAGAAGTGTTGGGAAAGGTCATTTCTATAATCTGATGCTACAGTGACCAACCAGGCAACCACTATAGGGTTGTGTCCCCAGAATCCTGAGGTGCCTACAGCGGGAAGGGGTAGCTGATCTCCAGACTCTTGTAATACATGCTTAGGGCAAGTTCTAGGTGACTCCAATCCTGGTTAGCCTCACCACCTACCCTTCTCAGGCAGAAAGTCATCATTGGTACACAGCTCCTCAGAGCTCCCTCATGACCTCCTCTGGAGCCAGAGGGGAATGTCAGCTGGGAAAAGGCTCCCTCATGGGCCTTCATGAGGCCTCTGACCACACCCTTAGCTTGTTGGGCCCATGGAGGGAGACCCTGAGTAATTCTGTGATCAGAGGTGTCCAGAGTCCTTGAGCTCCAGCTTCTGGCTCCCACCAGCTCAGGTTGCAGAATAAAGACAAGAAAGCCTCTGGGCAGCTCTGTGCCAAGCAAGGGAGCACTATAGCATATCTGAGGCCAAAGCCCAGTCCTAAGTAGAGAGAGGAGGGAACAGGTAATTTGGGGGCCAGAAGAGTTCCTTTTCCTACCCCATATTTGTACTGGAATGTTCAAGAATGAGATTTGTTCCATGGGTCCTTCTGTCCTCCATCTAACAAAAACCAGTTACCACTGAATTGACTCCAACTCATGAACTTCGTGTATGCTAGAATAGAACCGTGCTACTCTGATTTTGCAGAAGTCGGTCACCAGGCCTTTCTTGCAGGCACCTCTGGGTGTACTTAAACCTCCAACCTTCCAGTTAGTAGCTGAGCACATTAACAGTTTGCACTACCCAGGGGCTAGCCCCCCACCTACCATCACCATAAGTCCTAACCTTTGTTACCCTACACAGCTCCTGCAGTCCTCCCTCTCTGCCTTCCTTCCTGCCTCCCCTGTGCCCCTCTCTGGCTGTTCACAGTTCCATCCAGCTGTCTCTTTCTTCTTACCTCTTGAGACTTTGAGGGAATCCAGGCTTCCAAGCCCTGCTGAGACCTGGCTGCCAGCTTCAAGCAGAGGGGTGGTTCAGCTTCGCACAGCTGCTGAAGCTTTTCTGGGTCATTCTCTCCACCCACAGGACACCCATTCACCTCCAGGATTATGTCCCCTGTTCGTAGCCCAGCCCGGGCAGCCGAACCTCCTGGGGTCACCTAGAAATGTGGGGTGGGATACAGAACATGGAACACCATGAAAAAGTTTGCTGGTCATGCCAAGGCTGTAGGGAATGGTGGAGAAACTCATTGAGAGGCAAATTATTAAAAGGATCCAAGGTCCATAGGGCACTCGTCACCTGGGAAATGAAAACATTGGATCCATTGGCCACATAGCTGAGTCGGAAGCCATAGGCACCACCAAGCCCAGGGTACAGGAAGCACTGGCGGGAGGCAACAAGAAGCATACTTGTAACTTCAACTGGTGGGTCCTTGGTCTCAACCAAGGGTGCTGAGAAGGTGTCCTGGGGAGAGGCAAGAATGTCTGTGCTCTCCAAAAAGAGGAGTGGGGACAGGCGGACCTGGAAGGAGACACATAGAGCAAAACTGCTGTTTCTTCCTCCACCTGCACCACTCTCACCCATTTCCATACCCAGCCCTTGCCCCTCAGCTCGCACCATGCTGAAGAAGCGGTCAGCCTCAGGGTCAATGACAACGAGGGAGACGCAGGAGCCCTGTGCCCGGATCCTGGACACTGTTTCCTCATGGCTCAGCCCCTCCACGCTCTCCCCAGCCACAGCCACCAGCCGGTCTCCAGCCAGCATCCCAGCCTTCTCAGCTGGCAGTCCTGGGTCCACCTCCCACAGAAACTGCCCTGGGACAAAAACATCCTCACTGCTCCTACCTCATTGTCCCCAGTGCCAAGCCAGACTACCATATGCACACAGGAGCCCAGCCCAGGGGGTACAAAAGGAGGAAGCCCAGGATGGGGCTCAGAAAGGGACCTCTTATGTGCACTGAAAGGGAGACGCTTGTGTGCCCAGCCCAAGGCCCACCTTCCCTACCCACCCCCAAGGCTCTCACTCACCGAGACGACCACCAAGGCCCTTCTCCTCCCGAAGCAGGAACCCAAAGCCCTGGGGCCCTTTCCTTAGGTGCAGACAACGGGGCCTGGTGGGCAATGCCCAGCCCTCTGCAAGGGGTGCGGCCAGGGGCATTCCAAGCTGACGACACTGTTCCTCCACTTCTGGTGCTGCCACCAGCACGGTCACCTGCTCTCCACTCTGCTGAAGCTGTGGAGACCCAGCAGAGCCTCAGCATCAACCACCTGAATGAGGAGGGAAGAGGCTGGCCCCTCCTTACAGCCCTTCCTCCTTGCTCCTCCTCTATCCAAAGGATGGAGGCACTAAGGGGAGACACTAAAGGCCATGGCATCAAACTGTCAAGGGAAGGATGCAAATGAAGGCACAAGATCAGAGTGGGGATTAGGTGTGTGGGGGGGTCTTTTGGCCTCAGCCCCAGACAAGTGGAGGGTAAGTGAGGAAGCAGGCAGCCATACCTTCCTGCTGAGTTGGTTATGAGTGAACTTCTCCACATTGATCCCATTCACTTCTAGCAGTCGGGCCCCAGGGGGCACTCCTGCCCGCTCAGCTGCTCCCCCAGTGCTCAGCACCAACCAGAAAGGACCCTGCTTTCCTGGAAGAAGAATAAGAAGAAAAAGCCAGCTTCAGTCTCCTGCCTGCTCAGAGCAGGGGCTGAGGGCTTCCCTCTAGACCTCCCCACCAAGCCTTTAAGCTCACCATGGGTGACGCTGAAGCCAAAGCCACCCTCATCTTTCACTATGTGGCACAGCCGGGGCCGGACCCCTGGGCCTAGGGTAGGACAGAAGTGAGCATCCTTGCCCTGCTGAGCTCGAGCCACATCATGCACGTGCCGTGCCAAAACCGTCAGCAACACCCGGGGACCACCGGCCCGGATTCGGCGTACCACCTGAACAAAGGGCATGTGGAGTGGGGAGGGTTTGGGGCTGGCCCTTGAAGCCAACTCCCATCCCTGGAACCTGCATTTTCACCAGATGAACCAGCTTTCTGGATGCCTTCACCCCATCCTTCTAATCTGCACACCTCTGAATCCTAGAGGTGAGGCTAGGGCCCTTCCCCATAGCGCCCCAGGAGGTGACAGCTTCTCTCTTCCTGGGGTTCTGCTGAATGTTTTCCTATAACTCTGAGAGCTCCAGCCCAACCTCACCGTTGTGTAGTCTTCATTTTCCACGACATCACTATTCACCCCCAGGATACGATCTCCTTCTTGAAGACCCTGATGCTGTGCAGAGGTGCCTGGTTCCACCCTGCACACCACAGGCCCAGCACTGCCCAGTTCCTGCTGCAGATGGAAGCCAAAACTCCTGCCCTCCTCTTTGCTTAGCAGACAGAAGCGAGGCCGCTTCAGGCTCCAGGAATCTGGAGAGGGAGTAGGGCAGCAGAAAAGGGAGGAGAGGGCATGTGGCCCGAGGATAGGTCACTGTGTGCTAGGCAGGCCCTGCCCCCTCTATAGGGCACCAGGTAGACTTCTACCCTGTATAAAGTGTTGGGTGTGGGTAGAGTGACCAGGATGGAAGGAAACTGCCTGCTGCCCTACCTCCATGTAATTACTCTCAGCCAAGGCTGTTATCAGAAGCCAGAAGTGAGTGATTACCAAGGAGATGGGCGGCTGTGTGGCACTGTGGTGCCACCTGGGGGGAAAGGAATGGCTGCCAGAGGGTGAGGGAATTACCAGACAAGTTGTGGTCTTCGGCCAGGGAGAGGACAGGATTATCAATCCCCAGCTTTGGGTTAAACTCAAACTTCCTGCAAGGAGGCAGGAGGAGAAAGCTCTACATCTGGACTTGGCTCTTGGCTCCCAGGATCTCCTTTAGGTGCTAATGGCAGCTGGAGAGCTTCCCCTCCTCCCCTTGCCCCCAACCCTTCATGGCACTTACATAGTTAATGAGGCTGTGTCCTGAAGATCTGGGTGGCGAGAAGTGGTAAGGGGAGGACAGGTACATTCCGAGAGGACTCAGGGGAAGCCCCAAATTCAGTACTTGTCCCTGAGCTGTGCTGCAGTGGGGCTCTTCCCTTCCCCCTGAAGTCATACCCCAGAGGGATATTAAGAGTCCCTATCCCTCCTCCCCCAAGTCTTTGGCACAGAAATCTGAGCATATCAGCACAGGGTGTGGACCAAGAAAACAGATCACCTCCTTCTCCTCTCCTAACTGCAGTCTACTTCCCTGAGAGCTCCCAGCCCCAAACTCAAGTGTGCCTTGGTGCTGGAGCCTCACCCTTCAATCTGCCCCCTAACTGCCCCCAAGTCACTCCACCCCGAAGGCTTTCTCCTGGCCTCCTCCTCCTCCTACCTGTGGCTGCCTCCATGACTAGATCAGCAATCCAGGCCCAAGGGTGGGGACAAGGTCCATCGCAACCAGTTGACCCTCCCTCCTACCCCCCAGGTCCCGCCTCCTTGAAGATGCTGTCGTGAAAGCAATGGGGTAATGGTTAACGGGAATGAAAGTCTTATTCTCTGGGGAAGTGAATGTGCTTTTCTGCCTCCATTCCTGGGTCCCAACTTTCTCTGGGGCCCCTCTGCTGCTGTCCTAGCTTCCCCTATGTACAGAGAAAGGCAGATGGCTGGTCACGGTAACTCCAAGCCTGAGGGGAAATATGAAAAAGGCAACAGAATTCTCCAGGCCAGCAGGATCTACCCGTATCCCAGTTATCTTGTTCATGATCTTCTCCTAGCCCCTACTACCTTTGAACCCAGTGCCCAAGAACCACTTGCAACAGGAAGTGGTCAGTAATTTTCCAACTGGAATTACCAGAATTACCATGAATCGCAGTAGCCAAAGAAGAGACTATAGGACACAGAAGACACATAGCTTTTTAATGGCAGCAAGTCAGGGCATCTGCCCTAGGGGCCACGAGCCATCAGTACCATTATGGTAAAGGAGGAACAAGGGTGAAGAGAAAGCACCAACGTGAGAGGAAGGTGGCTGTAGGCATTCTTGATGTCCACAGACAAGCCTGAAGGTAGGAGGTGGAGGTTGGGTTTGGATCAATAGATGTTTAGATCCTTTGATACATCTTCTGGATGGCAACACCTGGCATGATGGACATAAGACGGATGCCACATTGGTGGCATGACCAGAGAGTCCTTGGGAGAGGCAAGGTTGGGGATAGTACTAGAGGGCAATTTGGCCACCTAAATGTTCCATCCTTTATTCCCTTTATCAGAAGGGAGAAGTGGCAAACCCAGAGCATTGATTCCTTATCTTTCACCCTGGAAATTGCAGGGCTGGGGGCACTGGTTAGACATGCCCTAGGAGGGCTCCTGGCACAACTGTGCCCATTCCTTTGCCGCCAGTTCTGAAACGGGTCTTTCTAGAAGGAGAAGTGCAAGCTAGGAAGCCTTTAAGGAAGGGTTTTAAGGGCCAGTGGTCATACACTTAGGTGTTTGAAGCCACTTTCTTAATATCCAGGGCCTCCTAGCTGCTCCAGAAGGGCCTTGACTTCGCCTTCAACTCGCAGCATCTGGGCCTTGCGCCAAGGATTAAGGGTGGCACCCCGGCTATCTTCCAGGTCCCGCAACAGTAACTCAAGGTGGCGCCGGACCCGGGCCCGATCCCAGCTGTTAAGGTTCCGCTGGACTTCACTGAGGATCACCGACCAGTACTCGGATACTGCTGTCCCCTCTGTTAGTGATGCCACAACCTTGGCACCACCTTCAACTGTGCTCCTCAAGTCCCGCAGAACTTGGCGGCCTTCTGAGCTCAGCTCATTGAAGTAGAGGCTAGTATGAGAGAGAAGAGTAGAAGCCATTCAGCATGACTCTGAGAAGGAGGGGGCAGAGGATAGAAGGGCAAAAAGAGGTGATCTCACTGGTTGTGCAGTGTGATGGGCCAAGTGTCTGCAATAAGCCAGATATGGAGGGTAGTAGCCAATGGGAGGCTGACACTAGAACTCATGGGACCAGGGACAGTAGGAATGGGGCCACCAGGACCACAGGAGAAATGCAGTAGGGAATCAGGACAGGATAAGGGCCAGTCACTGAGCGGGTAGAGTTGGCTCAGAACCAGGATGACAAGCATCACTCAGAAGCCAGGAACAGAGGATAGGCACCAGGCCTAGGACCAAAGTTCCCCCTAGGGGGAGAAAGACACAGTGGCAAGATGGAAGGGGCTGGGAAAGTCTCAAGCAGCTAGACTGAGGGTAGGGGCAATGGGACCAGGGGCAGACTCACTGAAGCAGCTCCAGGGAAGGATGCTTCCGGGCAGCCTTGGCCAGAGCCAGGGCCGCCTTGTCGCCAGCACCATTGTAGGCCACATTCAGCTCCTGCAACTGCTGGTTGCAGTCCAGCTGGGCAGCCAGCAGCTCTAGGCCCTCATCACCAAGACCGGTGTGTAGCAGAGACAGGTGTGTCAACGAGGTATTTCCTGCCAGCCCCTCCACCAGCAGTGCCGCACCCGCCGCCATCAGTGGGTTGTTGGACAGTCTGCGGCCACAATGAACCCAAGGTTATGAGGACCCACTGCAGATGCCTGCACTGGACTTTAGAACTTGGGCCAAAGGGGTATACAGCCTGCAGCCAGGATGAGCCTGGATACAAAAAAAATGCACCCTCCAGAAAAGGAAGTAGAAATGGTGTGTGGTATATGGCGGAGAAGGGAGACTAAAGCAAAAGCTGGCTTCCCCTCTCCTCCCCCCTTTCATTCTCCTTTTCTCCTTGATGCCCTTCTTCCCTCTTCCTTCTCTCCTCCTCTTTACTATTTCCCTTCTTCCTTTTTTTACCCCCACCTCATCCCTACTTCTTCCCCTCTGACTCCTCCATCCTTCTCTCCTTTCCTCTTTCTCCCTCTTCCTTCACAACCCCTTACTCTAATTAGAAATTGGGAACCCATGAGTATCAGTTCCTAGTAAATCAATCAATACTTTGGGAGCATCCACTGAGTGCCCAGAATTAGGGTTATCCTTGGGAGGCTGCAAGGAATATCCTGGCACTGTTACCAGGCAACCTGCCTGGGTATTATTCTGCCCCCTCATCCTCCGCCCCCCTCCCCACACACAGGCTAATTTTAGACACATGAGAAGCTTTCTAAGCACCAACTGCTGGTGACATCTTCCCCCCTGCCCTGCTGCTTGTACTAGACCTGCTCATAGGACAGAGCCTAGACTTCTATCGCCTTTACTATATGATGGGTGGGCCTGTGCCAGGTACGTGTAAGTCAGGGAGCTCACCCTTAACCTTAGGTGGTCAGAGCCTTCTCCCAAGGCACTCACCGAAGAGTGGTAATTTGGCACTGGTCATGTAGCAGCAGGTCTCGGAGGTCCCTGCAGGCCTCAGGGCCCAGGCTATTGAGTTGCAAGCTAGAACAGGATAAAGTGGCCAGGAGGGGGAGAACAAGGAAGAAAGACCAAGACAGGAATTCAACATGGTGCCTGCCCCTTTCTCACCACCCTGTCTCTCACAGTCCACAATGCTCTCCCTTCTGCTATTGCTCCTGTCACCTCCACCTGCACCAAATTCCTTCATCCCACTCCCTGGGCTTCCTCAGTACCTTAGTTCCCCTAACCCCTTCTTTTCCCATCTCTTTGCCTCCAACCCTCTCTTCTCCTCATGCCTGTGCTCAGGGGCAGTATGGGTCCTCACCCCAGCTTTCGGGCATGCAGTAAGACAGGCATGAGTGTACGGAGCCCAGCAGGGTCCAGCTGGCAGGAAGCCAAGTTCACCTCATCCAGGGTATGCCTTCCACTGGCCAGTACAGCTGCCACCACAATGCACTTGCGGGGCGTCATGCGCACACCAGCCAGGTTGAGCTGGCGTAGCGAGCTGAGCATCTCAGCAGAGAAGCGCTGATTCTGGAACTCATAGTGGAAGAAGAGGTAGTCGAGGAGTTCTGAGGGGGGCAGCAGCTGGCGGCCCTGTGTGCCCAGCTTCTTCTTGATGGCCTGGGCATTCTCCAGGACATCCAGGTTTTTGATTGGGCAGCCAAGCTGAGCCAGCACAGCCCGGTTGTGGGCAGAGAGAAGCCCTCCCATGAACATGGGAAAAAGCTCAAAGACTTCATCCTCTGGGGGTTCGTCTGGGTGGCGCCGGGGGCCCTCCACACCCAGGATGCTGGCACCCATCTGGTCCAGAACATCATCATTGTAGTAGTCCTCCTCCCGGAACATTTCCAGCACCATGGCCTGGGCCACTGCCTCCTGGCTCTTACCCACCACACGCCCAAACACTCGTGGAACCACCTGGGAAAGGAAGCAAAGGATGAAAACTGGACTCTCCTGAGTCCCTTCAGAAGCACAGTGCCAGGCCTGTTCAGCCTTCAAGGCAAGCTCAGCGGAAGTTCCCGTGACTGCTCCAGCCCAGTGATCTCCCTAGAACTTGTAGCACATTTTGTCTGGTCACTGCCAAACTGCAACACATTCCACAGTTCCTCAGTGCCCATGTGGCATCCTAGCCTGGAATATATAACTTCATAATCTGGCCCCAACTGGACCTTTCCAGTGTCATCTCTCAACACTTGTCTCATGCACCCAAGTACTGGAACTTCTTTATTTTTCTCCAACACCCTATACAATTTCAGCTCAAAACCCACTTCCATTGAGTCAATTTCAACTCATAGTGCCCCTGTAGGACACAGTAGAACTGCCCCATAGGGTTTCCAAGGCTGTAAATCTCTATAAAAGCAGACTGCCACATCTTTCTCCCAGGAAGCAGCAGGTGGGTTTCAACCACAGACCTTTTAGCTAGTAACCAAGAACTTTAACCACTGTACCACCAGGGCTCCAATTTCAGCCCAGGGGGAAGGAATTTGTACACATTACACATTCAGTTTGGTACTGAGATAGGTGTTATGAATAAATCACCATCAACATCCCTGTCATCTACATCAAAGCAACAGGATTGAATCAGCTCTGGTTGGGCAATCTACTTCGTAAAGATGTCGTCTTGGAAACCCAAGGAAGGGTCGCTGAGTCAAACTGACTCGATGTCAGTGAGTTTGGTTTTTTGTATATGTTAAGGCCTAAGGGGGCCCTGCTAGTATAATGGTTAAGTGTTCATTGGCGGCTACTAACCAAAAGGCTGGCAATTTGAACCCACTCAGTGGCTTTGCAGGAGAAAGACCTGGCAATCTGCTTCCATACAAATTATAGTCTAGAAAACCCTATAGGGTCGTTCTACTCTGTCACATGGGATCACTATCAGTCGGAAATTGACTCAACGGCACTTAACAATATATCAAGGTCTGTATGATTTGACCTGTGCCCACCCTGGTGTCTGCATCACACCCTCCCTCACTATACTTCTACTCTCTTGGCTTTTCTCCTTCTCTTGACAGTACCACAGTTTCCCCTTCTTCAACAACTCTCTTCATGGGGTGTTTTTCCCCTAATTGACCCTGCAGGAATCAGATTATCTTTCCTGTAGATAGGCTTTCCTTAACTACCACCCCCATCCCCACTGTTACACACTTTCTTAGCACCTGGAACTTTTTATTCCAGACATCACCAATTTTAAATTTACATTTTTATGTGTTCAAACTGTAAGATTAGAAAGGGTAGAAGCCAAGGATTTTGTTATTTCCCCCCAGAATCTAACCTATTGCCTAGCACATAGCAGGCACTCAAATACTCGTTGAAAAAATAGATGTTTTGGGAGGTTTGCAACATCATCCCCCATCCTTACAATGGTTCTGTAAGGAAAGAAGGAAAGGTCCATTTCCCTGACAATGAACCATGAGTTTGTTCTCTGGTACCTCCTCTAATATCTGTTTGTTTGTTTACTTCTCATATGTGAGGTTCCTACCATAGAGGATAGAGTCTAGTGTCCCTTCTCCCAAGAATAATCTGGTAACAAGACCAGAAAATGCTACCCTATGAAGGAGCTCTGATAGCATAGTGCCTAAGGCACTTGCCTGCTAACCAGAAGGCTGGTGGTTCAAACCCACCAGCCACTCATCGGAAGGAAGATGGGGCAATCTACTTCCGTAGTGATACTGCCTTGGAAACCCAAGGAGGGGTCACTATGAGTCAGGTCCAACTTGACAGCACATAACAGCAACAACAACAATGAAGGTAAGGTCAATAGAACATGAAGAAACAGGTGGGACCAGTCCTCTGCTAGGTAAGCTCAGAGAAGGTTTGGGAGAGTGGCACTAACAATTCTGGCTGTTCTCAGGATAACTAGGGGGCTTTTTGAATCTCACCAGAAGACCACAGCCTGTAATCCAGATGAGGAAGCATATCTTCAAAGCCATGGTGTGGCCTTGGCAGTGGACATTAACCACTATCTGAAGCAATGATGTGAGAAGGCTTGGGCTGCGTGAGCCTGTGTTTGTTTATTTAACAAACATTTAAAGGACCCTTATTGTGTGCCAGGCTCTGAAGATTAATTCCTTTAATCCTCAAATTAGGCCAGTGAGATTGATTCTGTTATTATCCCCATTTAACAGAAAGGAATTTGAGGCACAGAGGGGCTAAGTAACCAGTGCAAGGTCACACACCTAGTAAATGGTAAAGCCTGTATTTAACCGAAGTAGCTGTTTTACTGAATCCCAGCTCTTAATCCTTATGCTTTGCTGTCTATAAAAAAGGAAAACTTGTTGAGATTTTTCCAGGACTGACCAGGGCTCTGGATCCTCACCACCAACATGAGTTACTGAAACACTCCTAGTGAAGACAAGTATGATCTAGCAAGGCACAACAGCTTGACAGAAATATTCATAATAGCTTATCTATCCATAATACAAAGAGCACAGAATTCAGAATCACAAAATCTGGGTTCATATCCCCCAGAATCTAACTTGTTGCCTAATAAGTTGAATAATTTATTATCTGAATGACCTTGGACAAGTCACCTGGCCGTTATGAGCCTCAATTTTCTCATCCACAGAGGGGTCATAATTATATTTCATTTCCAGGGTTGATGTGAGAAACAAAAAGAAGAAACCCTGATAAAGCCCCCAGAAGAAAGGAGCAGAGAGTGGCTCCTCTCTTCCCTTCAAAAACATAGCGCATCCATCCTACCCACAGCACAGTTCTCAGGCCTATAATTTGGTTTCTGGTGTGGACCTGTGCACACAGGATGGGCTGTCCAAAGCCAACTACCAAAGTCATTTATCCTCCCAGTATAAGTGAATAAAATGGCATCTGCTTTATAAATCTGTCTCTGGTGATTGAGTTAGGATGACTCAGCACTCCCAAAGCCTGATCACTTCTGGGGAAACAGATGCAATGGAGTTTCGGGACCTGCAAAGGAGATGACAGACCCCGGACTGCAGTGATCCCTGCCTCCCAGCAACAAAGACTGGGAGGAGAGACTTGAAAAAAAAACTACTGTTAGGGTTTTAGGATTTTGACTACAGTCCTTGCACCCTCTGATTCCCCTTCCAGTCTCTAAGTCTTCCCCAGCCTTGCAGCTTTTCTCTCCCCACTCCTTAGGTCCCTGACCCTATAATACAAAACAGAACTGACCCACAGAATTTCCAAGGCTATAAATCTCTATGGAAGGAGACTGCCATATCCTTTTTCCATGGAGCAGCTGGTGGATTTGAACTGCTGACCTTTCAGTTAGCAGCCAAACACTTTAACCACTGTGCCACCAAGGCTCCTTCCTTATGTTCCAGTTTCCCTAAAAGCCAAATTGTCCAAATCTGAAAACAAGAATCGAGAAAAGGATCCATACCTGGGCAAGAAGTAGCAGCTTCCTTCTGGGAGAAAAGTAAGGGGTGAACACAGAGCTATAGGAGCTGATGGCCTGGGGTCCTGAGGAGGGAAAGAGCAAGGGGGTGGGGACCTGGGGCTGTTACCTTGAGCAGGTTGAAGAGCAGAGGCAGAGCCCGCAGGGGCAGCAGCTTGGCCACAATGCCTAGTACCAGGCTGACATCCTCCCCTACACGGCCCACGAGCTCAGCCACGTCCTTGCCTACTCGCTGCAAGGTCGTCTTGTGCAAACCTAGCACAATGTAGAGGGCGGCCAGGTATTCCTGCATGGCGGGCACAGTGAACACGAAGGTGCCTGGATGCCCTGGCTCCACGCATGGGGCCAGAAAAAACCTCAGGGCATCTCGACGGAAGACATGCAACAACTGAAACTCCTCTTCCGTCTTGATGCCAGCTTCAAGACATGTGCGGACATCCTCTTCAGAGAAGTAGGTCTTGCGAGAGGTCACCCCCATGTGGGCCAACTTGCCCAGGGTTCGGGCCGCATAGGCCATCAGAGATACCTTGGAGGGGTCAGTGCTGTCCAGCATTTCCCCACTGAAGTTGAGGCGCAAGAAGCTGGTGTAGATGCTTGTGAGGGTCTGGTCGGCAGGTGTGGGGGCATGTAGGAAGTGCAAGGTGGCACACACAAGCCAACAATAGGAGGGCAGGAAGCAGGCAGCAGAAATCTGGTGGTGCCCCTCCAGGTTCCGGGACAGCATCTGCACCAAGTTGTCACGCTGAGCTGAGATGGCTGAGACATCTGCACCCTCAGCACTGTGTCCACACTCTGGTTGGTTCAGACGGAGCTGGAAGTACAGCTTCTGCAGGTTGGTATCAGAGAAGCCACAGATCTCACCATAGCGGCCCACATACTTGCTGGGGATGCGGCCAATGGCAGAAGGCCGGGTGGTCACCAGAATGCTGGCCTGGAAAGATAGGTCATGGTTGAAGGTTAAGAAAGATCTGGGGGGGTCCTGCTCACTTCACTCCCCAAGGAGTTCCTGAAGACTGAGTGTCCAAGGATGAAGATGATGATGACATCAATTATAGAGCACTTAGTATGACTCAGGCCACTGTGCTAAGTAATTATATGTAGTATCTCATTTATCATTACAATTCAAGGGGTGAAAGAAACTGAAATTTGGAGAAGTTAGTGACTTGCTCAAGGTCACAAAGCTGGTAAGTGGAAGAGCCAGGATTTGAACCAACTCAGGTCCTACACTTTTACCCAATGAACATATGGACACAAGGCACACGAATCCCTAGGAGGCAGCAGTGGCAAGGGGACGGGGGACCACCCACCTCAGGCAGCATGTATTTGCGCAGCAGGTTAACAATGATGGCAGCTGGTGCTTTTGGCTCCTCAGGGTCGCTGCAAAGCCCTGTGCCTGCAAGCCGGAAGTCAAGGTTGAGACGCTCCAAGCCATGGAGCACAAAGAGCAGGTGGGACCCGGCAGCAGCCATCAGAGGCAGAACCTCCTTCAGGGGCGTGTATCGCTGGGCCACGAGCTGGCACAAGGAGGCTGGGGTGGGGCCCAAGGATGACAGGTCCTCGCAGGAGAAGGGGATGAGGAGCTCAAAGGCTGGCAACTGCCCGTGACACCAGTCCAGGACCATCTTGCGCACCAGTGTGCTCTTGCCTGTACCCACCGTCCCATACAGCACCACTGTCTGCACCCGGCGCCCACAGGCATCTGGGCCAAAGAGCTGAGACAGAGCCAGTGGGGGGAGCCCAGGCTGGGGCAGCTGATGTTCCCCAGCCAGCTCCGCAGACGGGCAAAGCAGCTCATCAGGGGTGCTCTCCCGGATCACAGGGTCCACGTGGACCGTGTCTAGGGCAAAAGTTGGGCCAAACTGGCGCTCCTCCCTGGGCAGCCGGATGAACCACTCGGCCAGGTTCCTGCGGTGCTGCTGGATAGCTTCTAGAAGGAAAACCAAGGGAAATGGGTGAAGGAAAGAAGCTGGGAGATAAAGCGCTTAGGGCAGGTGAGGGAGAACCTGTGTGATGCAAACGGTTAATGTCCAAAAAAAAAGTTTGCGCCCACTCAGAGATGCCCCAGAGAAAATGCCTGGTGATCTATTTCCGAAAAAAAAAAAGGCCACTGAAAACCCTACAGAGCACAGTTCTACTTTGACACATATGGGGTTGCCATGAGTTGGAGCCAACTCATCAGCAACTGCTTTAGGGCAGGTCAGGGTGGTGATAGGGTCAGGCTGGGGAAGTCAAGACACCAGGAGATGCTGTCTGGGCACACAGGACTCCCTTGGAAAACATGGACTGTCCAAAAAATTTGGAATTCCTTTGGCAGAATATGGGGAACCACTGAACAAATGATGCCAAGACCAGACTGCCTGGTTTCATAGTTATCTGTGTGTTTTTTCAACCTGACTGAACCCAGAGATTGAAGGTAAGGATGGCATGTCTCCAACAATACTCTGTACAGAGTAAGTGTGCTGTTCAGGAGGGATACGTGTTCTGATGGACAATGGGGCAAGAGAGGGAGCAAAAGACTACTGATGGGCAATGTCAGGGGATCCTCTACACATCCCTCATCATTCCAGCTTCTCCTTCCAGAACCCCTCTTCAGGCTGACTGAGGTGCCAGTCCTTTTACCAGCTACAGAGACGCTCCGGAACAGCTGTCCATGCCTCTCCAATGGGGGAGCACTGCCTGCTGAGCTTCCGTGGTGGCGTGTAAACACCCTGGGAACAAGAAGAGGGGATAAGCTGAGACTTGGGTACCAGATTTAGCCCCGCACAGACTCTGGACCCTCTAGACCAGTGGATTTCTGGCTTCCTGAGATCCAGGCCCAACACTGGACACCACGTTGAGAGCCTTGTCTGAACTCTCATACTCTTCCAGGGACTGAGGTCTCACTCCTTGCCCTCCAGCTCCCTATGCTGACTGTCTGCCTGGAACTCTGGCTGGCCACTGCCAGACTCCGCCCCACTCCCCAAAGGTCCTCCCTCAGGCTGACCACTATGACTTCTACTGTAGATGATCTAAACCAACTTCCTCTCAAGCCTGGTTGCTAACTCCACCCACTCTCCTTCCCAGAATACCAAGCCCCCTTCCTCCTGCTCCCAGAGATCAAGCTAGCTCCAAGTCTTGACCCCTCCCACCCTGTTGTGCCCAGATGTGTTTTAAAGTATGACACCAAGGTCTCACCTAGGGGGCCCAAGAGGACAGTCTCCTATAAGGGGCCAACTCCAGTGGATCAGAAAGGGGATATACTCATCTACAGAAAAAAGGGAGAAGGAAAAAATAGTATATAAGGATCTTACTCACACTTTCCCACGACCCCAATCTCTGTTAAGCCTCTCATTATCTGCTCTCATTGCAATATTATATAATTTTCTATTACATCTCATAATAATCTGATTAACATTTACCTCCCCTCACAGACTATGAAGCCTACAAGAGCAGGGATCACATCTGGTTTTGTTCGCAATTATACACCTAAAGTTTAGCACAGAGTCTGGCACACAGCAGGTACTCAGTAAACATTATTGAATGTGAAATGAAATCAGACAAATGTTCCTGGGCTTGTATAACTACAAGAGGCCCTACCTAGTCCAAATCTTCTTACTTTTAGATGAGAAAAGGGAAGCTCACAGAGAGGTGACTTGCCCAAGGTCAACAGCTAGTGAACTGCAGAGCTAGGACTAGTGCACCTGATGTCTGGATCCCTGCTCTCTGGTAGGCACCATCTAGACCCTGAAGAGGAAGAGAGAGATAGGAACAGAAACCTCTGCTTCCTGCTCACCTAGTGGCTGGGGTACTCTTCCGAAACCAGAGCCCCAAGAGGCCCTGGGCAATCGGCAGGCCCACCTCATGGTAGGAGAGAAGGTCAGAGCCCTGGAGATAGCACCACCTTCTATTATGCTTCCTGTAAGAAAATTGGTGTGAATGGAAGGCAGTCCCTGTGCCAACCAAGGAGGGACCTTCCTCCTCAGAAGAGGATCAGCCCTTCCTTAAACGTCAGCATTGCTGAAGCCCTGTCCTGGCTTTCAGCTCTCCTCCCTCTCCTACACCTGCCACCTGAGTGATTCCATTCTGTCACCTACTACCTGTTGCCTTTTTATGATTTCTAGCCTTACACTGCTTTATTGTTTTCCTGTTATTTGCTTGGCTGCCAACAAGCTCAGCTAGAAGTCCTGTGCTCATTTTCAGTGGCTTTTCTGAGCCTAGAATTTCCAGTAATAATTATCCACTCCCTTCTGGTAGCATAGTGCCTAAGGCACTTGACTGCTAACCAGAAGGCTGGTGGTTCAGACCCACCAGCCACTCCTCAGAAGGAAAGTTGGGCAATCTACTTCCACAGTGATACCTCCTCAGAAAGCCAAGGAAGGGTCGCTATGAGTCGACGGCACATAACAACAACAATCTGTCTTTTGTTACTTAGCTATCAGGTCCCTTAGCTGAGTTTTAATGGTTTTATCATTTTATCTTCTCTGTGACTTTCATGTAAGCTGCTTTTGAGGCTGGCATCAATAATAAATAGATAAATAAATAAACTTGCTGCTTGACATCTCCGTATGAATCTCCTGCCAGTGCTTCAAACTTTATGGCTGTAAAACTCATTCTCCTTCTCCTTTTAGTTATTTGCTACAGGTCTTCCCAGCCACATAAATTAGACTAGACACCTGACCTCTATCTCTTCAAATTCTTGCCCCCTCTTTCAGTCAATCCAAACAGTCCTAGCAATTCCTCCTCCCAAAGCTTTGCCTGTGTGGCTCTGTTGTATCACCCCAGTGCTAACTCAGCCCCTCCTAGGACTTACAGGGACTCCCATCTCCCCACTGGTCTCTCTGCCTCGGGTCTCATCCCATTCCAACCCCTCTCCTAGCCACCAGCCACCTCCCCAAATTTCTAGGTTACTTACAGAGTTGAAACATCCTTGGATTAGCCCCACCGGTGCCCTATTTGCCAGGCCCACAAATTCTTGCTCACACTTTCCTAACTTAGTTAGTACGCTTTTCTCAGCTTGGAATGACTTTCCTCCTCTGTCAGATCGTCAATCTTTTAAGACCCTGCTCAAAGGTTCCTCTTCTGGGATGTCTTTCCTGATGTAGCCAAGCTCTCTTCTAACAAATGGAGGGGGCTCCTATTAGGTGCCTGGTCTCCTTCATTGAGGTTGTGGCTCCTTACTGACAAGACACAGTTAGGACCACAGTTGCTACTCACCAATGTAGGTTGTGGAGCAAGATTTTTATGTTTTATTGTGCCAGTTGAGTTGGGTGTCCCTCAATACTATGGTCCTAAGTCGATAGATCCATCGGATCTCTCTCCCACAGTGTCTGGCTGTCTCTGAGGGATTGTCCTATGTCTGTCTTCTGTTGTTTCTGTAAGGATTGCAGGTATTTTGTATCACTGATATGTGTGCAAGATAGCCTCAGCTGAATCTATCCTTGGTCTATAGTATAATCCTGTTCACTGACTCCCATCTGATCTTCTCAGATGTTTATGTGTTTATCTGTAGCCTGGTGTTTGGTGTTAATAGTAATGCTAATACCGGTATTAGCCTCTGTCATCTATATCTTATGTGCACCATTCGGTGTCCTCCCTTTCCCTAATGTCAAGTGGCCATCTAAGATGCAGCAACTAATGGTCTCCTATCGTCTGAAGAAGAATGCAAAAAAAAAAAAAAAAAAGGGACATTTGGAAGCAATCAGCCCTAGGACATGATGGACTTCAAGACCAGAAGAACTACATAGTGCCTGGCTACCAATGCCAACCACTCAGGAAAGGCTCAAAACTGTAGATCTTGGATGAAGTGGGAGGAAAAAGGTGGAACAAAATCCAAAAACACCATAATGACCAGAATTACTGGTCGGATGGACTCTGGTGGGACCCCCAATACTATGGCCCTGGGATACACTTCGGGCCTGCAATAAAACTCATTCTCAGGGGCTAGCTTTTAGCCCAACAGTAAATAAGATGTACACGCAGACCACTCAACCCAGGGTGACGCACCCACATGCTCTATGGAGATGCATCCCTTGGAGCAATCAACCACAGGACACCAAAGGGGTAACATTCACTGGGAGGAAATGCAGGACACACAGGAGTGCATAACTGTGAGAGGCACGGGGATGGGGGGCAAGGAGGGCGGGGGGGGGCGGTGTTTGCTTACTGGGCAGGGAGGGGAGGAGAGTTAGGGTTGGGGATGGTAACGGGGGAGTGAAACCAAATGTACACATTTTGGATGTAAAGCAAACTCTACTCTGTAAACTTGCACCTAAAGCACAATAAAATAAATAAATAAATAAGACACAATTAGGGAGGGCTGGATACTTTGAGCCCACCTGCCTTAGTGGAGCAGACCAGTGGAGGGTGCTGATGGGCTCAAAGCAGATCCCACGATTGGGGAAAGGTTAAGAGGGGGCTCCAGAAACCTGAGCAAGCTAGAGAAAAACGGCATATGGCTCAGTGGGTTAGAATCAGAACCAGGGCCACTGAATCAAGATGGCACTCGTGGAGGGGCTGGCAATTCTTCCGACCTTCAGCCCAGGTCTCCAAGACAGTAAGAAAGGGAGTGGCACAGTGAAGAAGTACAGAGACTGTTTTCCCTCAGGTTCAGTGGCCTCCTACCAAACTGGGTCCCAAACACGTCTCCCAGTTGCAATCAGCTTCTGAGCCCAAGAAGGAGAACCTGCCAGACGTCCACCATTCAGGGCACCAGTTCTGCCTCACTCTCCCAGACCGGAAAGTTCAGCGGCAAGTTCCCTGCCCCCACCCGCCCCGGCCCAGGCCCCTGCGCAGCCGCCCAGCCGGTCGAGAGGGCGACCCAGGTAGCTAGACCTTTACCCCGGACTGCCCAGGCCTTCGGAGCCCGTTGGCTGGCGGCCTGAGGCAGTCGGCGGTTCAGAAGCAGGCGTATCCCCGCTGGCTCCCAGAGTCCCCGGCTCCGCGCGGCGCGGCGCTTCCTGCCGTCTCCGCCCGCCTGCGCGAAGCCCCGCCTGCCCTGGCATCCTGCCTGGGCAGCCGGCAAGGGAGAGAACAACCCTAGGCATCTGGCCCCGCGGTGTCCTGGGCGGAAGAGGGGGACATCAGTGGGGAAGGGGGTTTCCTGGGAAAGCGGGCTCACAATAGGGGCACCTCCTTCCCTTCCTTCAACACTCTCCTCTGGGCTGAGTCCTTAATCCCGGAGGGCCCGCCGCTCCTACTGCCCCCTGCAGTTTACCAAGCTCCAGTCACATCCAATTTCCTCATTAACAACTTCCAAGGCAGGGTTTAAGGACTGCTGGTGGCGCAGTGCTCAAAGCATTCAGCTGCTAACCCAAAGGTCGGCGGCTGGAACCCACTATTTGCTCCGCTGCAGAAAGATGGGATAGGCTGCTTCAGTAAAACAGGCTTTGGAAACCCTATGGAGCACTTTGACTTTGTCCCATAGGGTCACTATGAGTCGTAGTCGTCTAGAAGGAAGTGTGCTATACGCAGGGCTTGTTGCAGTCCCCATTTTACATATGAAGAAACTGAAGCTTAGGAAGGTGAATGACTTGCCTGGGTTGACCCAATTAGAACAGAATCTGGGACCTGTCTTCCTACCTCACCCCTGGGCCTTCCTGAGCAGGGACGCAGTGAGGTTAACCAGCATGAAGGGCAATCTCTAAATTGCACCGTCCCATCCTCGGCAATTCCAAGAAGAGTAGACGTTGATAGCAAGGAACTCTGGTGGTATAGTGGTCAAGGCATTTGGCTGCTAACCAAAAGGTCAGTGGTTGGAACCCACCAGCCAATCCACGGAAGAAAGATGAGGCACGCAGTCTGCTTCTGTAAAGGTTTATAGCCTTGGAATCCCAATGGGGGTCGCTATGGCAGTGAGTTGTGGTTTTTGCTTTTGTTTTTGTTTTGAGATACTGATAGCAGGGATGAGTCAGCTGCCTCAGCCAAGTGTCTTTCATATTTGTGATGCCTCAGAATGTCATTCTGTGCCTCCACTGGCTCTGCCTTGAACTTATGCCCCTCCTTATATCACTGTCTGTTGTACATGAGGAAGGACATTGGGCCCTACCGGGTTAATAGAAACTGCTCAGTGGCACTTTCCTTCAAATGGCACCCAGGACACATGCCATGCCTGCAGTAGCTTAGATGTTTGGGCCCCCAGGGCAACCTTTCCTCTGTCCCTCATTACCTCATCAACCTAACTCCCATAAGAGACCTCTGAATAAGGGCAACCTTGGGTCCTCACTTCTGTACCTGGCCCTCTTCAAACCAGGCCTGTGTGTGTGGCCTCTGGTCACTTTGGTCAAGGAAAAAGGAAGAATGGAGGATAAGGGACAGTTCCCACCCCAACCTGCTCTTCCTGTCTGGCACCCAATCATGGTCTAGTCTCAGGGCTTCTAGGTCCTCAAGGCCCCACCCTTATCCCTGCACTTCCTTCCAGAATAGGCACACCCAGAGCCCAAGTAGGCCAGAAGGAGGGAATATCCACCACCCACAACAAGAGCACACCTCCACATGCAAGCATAGGTATGCAATATGCACCCAGCAGAGGTGCCCAATAGGGTCCCCAGGGCAGGATAGGGCAGGCAAGGGACTTTGTGATCTCTACCCTCCATCAGGCTGAAGTCACTGTTAATAGTTCATTTATCCATTTAAACATTCATTCATTAGATATGTGGTAGTCAGTACTGAACACCTCACATCCACATGCAAGGCACAGCATAAAGCTCTGGGCCTCCCAATTCCAACAAGCTTGCAGGAACCAGACCACAGCAACTGTCCTCCAATGGGACCAACCTCCACTTTTTTTTTTCACTATGATTTGGGTGAAAGTTTACAGAGCTAATTCAATTTTCATACAACAGTTCATACACATTTTGTTTCATGACATTGATTGCAATCCCCATAATGTAACAGCTCTCTTCCC